GTGTTATTGTGCTGGTACCTTAAGGACTGCCGAAGACAGCTGACTCATAATGTTTTTAATATTCTTCATATTCTGTGTGGTGGTCAGTTCATACTGATAGAAATTAATCTTTTCCAATAAGTTTAACCCGATCTTTACATTTTATGGGCATTTTTACCTTTATAACGCCATTTTTTTCTAGAAGTGTCCATTATCTTTTGAGTCAAATTCTTACATTTAATTAGTGAATTAGAATAATAAGACATTTGGGCTGTTACCAAGCAAATGAAATCAACACAGAAGCTGCATCTGAAGTGGCATTTAGATGTATTTACACACATGTATTTTGTTTAATGCAAGACATGAATGCATTTAACCTGCAATTACAAATGCATAAATAATGTTTTGATATATTAAACATAAAACGTTGAATACTGATATTTGAAATCGCACTCTAAATGCACACGCACTAGTCTAGACTTCACGTAATGTATGCGTGCGCTCTGTAGGGATGTTTTGAATGGTTTTTGCAAAATACTCGATAATGTCAAATCGCACATCGTTAAAACAACAATTACGATATTATCGCAGACGATATATATCGCACACCCCTAGTGACCAACTTTGTCTAGAATGCTGCACAGGACATTTTCTCAAACAAATTTGTGAGGTGCATCCTTCTATCTCTTCAGGTTTCTTTCCCTGCTAAAGACGTTGTTCCTATGCAGGGTAATGGTACTCATTAGATCATGGTGGTTGTAACCGGGGCAGGACTGGTTTGTGGCCGTGGGCATAATTGTGCACGTTCCTGTGGCTTTGCTTGAACAGTTTGTGCCCGGTCGCCACATTTAGCATCATGAAGAATCAGTACAATCATCTCGTAAGTGCTGGTGCAGTAGGCAGCGGAAAAGTGCTCTAGCAAAAAGAAAACTGACCCAGTTGACCGCGTTTGCCAGGATATGGAATGGCCATTACACATCCACTATGTTTTAAAGCAAGAAAAACTCTTTGTGGCTCTTTCTGTAGGATAAAGTTCTGCGTTGCATAACAGTCACAAGAGATCATATCTGTCGAAGCCTCTGGGTCAAAAGTGTATTAAAATTGTATAATGTTACCAGCGGTTTATCGTTGGTGTTGGTTATGTGAGGAGACATGGAAGTGTTTGTGTGCAATATAAACTAAACATCAGTGGCTGGAGAGAACACAGCACATGTAGAGCCTTTTTCCAAGCCCATGTAGTAGAGCTGAAATCCAAATTCAAGTTCATTTTAGTAATTCAGTTCCTTTGGATGGATTGTTTAAAAGTGGAAGATTTTCCTTACATGTTTTTAGTGGGTAGTTGATGTAAAATGCCCTTTGTTTCAGCATAATCAAGGGTACAATTTACATGTTTAAGGAATTTTTTTCTTCTTATGTCTTGTGACTGGTCACCAGTTAATTGCAATTTGTTTCAAAGATTTAATTTTATTTATTTATTTTGGCTTCAACTGCAATGATTATAATTCTGACATATTATAGCCATATATTTACTCATAAGCAAAGTTCTCCCTTACAGAATGGTGATTTACATAAGCTTTGCGAACTGATTGGTCATGAATGGCTTTAAAACATGTTTATAAAAAACTGATTTGTTAATTAATTGGACATCACATAATTTTACTGAACTGTTCCAAATTATACAATATTATTATGTAGTATAAGGTCTGACCTTAGATGTGTAGTTGATTTTCATTATTCCCAGCAGGTCTGCAGCAGGAGTGTTGACTGATATAATCTTGATTTGCCATCAGTGAACGGGCACTGAACAGCCAAACCCTGCATGCAAGCTAAACCATAAACACTGAACTCATTAAAAGAAATAAAAGGATTTTCACTCCAGGGGTTTGAGATTGTTACAAGCTCTTAAAGCAACAGGACAAAACAAAGAACCTATCTTCATGTAAGATCACAATGAATTTGTGCTGTTTTCAGGGCATGAAGATTGAAAACGGAAATAGCCCATCTGTGTCACAGCATTATTTTTCTGCATAACCCTGAATTAGTAGCCTCAGATATATCTTGTGTGCTGTGATCGTTTGATGTGTGACGTCAGGCATTTTCACACACGGCCCCCTCTGCTTTTACATTGAGCGTTCATCACTGTAATATCTCACATTGCTATTACAGTAGATGTTTCAAAACATCAGCACAAGTGCCATTTTGTCTTAAGTTTTTCTGTTGAGAAGTGGGTTGTTTGAAAACTTCTTTCTTCTGATGATTTGAGCTGTTATACTCTTAACCAATAGACCAACACAAAACTCAACAACACAACATTTTCCTCATTGATAAAATTGTAATAAAATTCACCTATTTTGGTAACTTATTTCTTTCATTGCATGTTACTATTACTGAAGAATTAATGAATAAAATTGATGACTTAACAATGTTTTACTGGAGATATTAAATGGGGGAGGGTGGGGCACGCCAAGAGGATAAATTTTAAAGAATAATCAAAGAGTTCTTTCCAACAAAAAAAACATTGAAGGACCATTTTTACATACACAGCACAAATATTCACAGTAACCAGAGCAGCTGATGACTCTAATGGAAACACTGCTTTCTGCTACACCTTGATGACTGATAGCAGTTAAATTGATTCCTCAAAAGCAGGTTTAGGCACTTAAATGTTCTTTACTGATCACTGGAGGAAATGTGCTATTCATTTAGTGGTTTTCTAGAATGACATTTAGAAGAAGAACTAGTCAGTAATGGAAATGCTAGATAAACGAGTAGACCCCTAAAATTAGCTGCTGAGGAAACTGTCTTTAGCACCATGTGCACTTTCTTTGTTCCACAAAATCCAGGCAGCTGCTTTTCCCTATTTAACCTGGGGTCCCTTTCCTTGCATCCCATGGCATAGAAACAACAGGACCGCCACACATTCAGACACTACGCATGTTCAGTCTTGCACACGGACTCCTTTTTCCAAAAGTTGCTATGGCAACCAGAATCTGCAGCCCTCCTGATTGTCTTTCTGAATCTGAGCTGGGCTACTTTCTCTGTTTTTTGTTTATTTAATATGCTTGCGGCGAACTAGAGGCATTTTAAGCTGTTTTTCACGCACCACTGTTGCTAATGTTTACCCTTTACCCATAAAGTCTTACAGCACTTGCATGTCGTGAATGCATCTTAAATTGTTTCCATTTCCCGATTGATTGCGTGATCTCAACTGCACAGCTTGGATAAATTAAGCCTAGTAGTTGGAAACAGAAGGTGATCTTTCTAGAGCATTGTTCACAGGAACACGCACTCGCTAAGTTCCCAATTTTGCTACTCACAGTGGGTTGATGAGCTTGGCGTGAGTATAATATTGTGTGAGTTCACGGCACAGTGCATCCACTCTTGCTGGAGTGCCTAGTTCTTAGTGTCCCTTGCTTATACTTTGCATGTAACACGTCACACAGCTCGTTACAGAGAGTGGGCAGACTTAAACTTTTCAACGAATAATAATAGCCAAAAAATATCATTGAATTACACTGAAGAACACACCCAGACCGAAACTTTAGGATGGGCTCTTTTGACCTGTGAGCAACCAACTGCTGCGATGCGTTTTGCGTGGTCAAAACCTAAGAACTAAAGTCCAGTTCCTCTTTAGATACACAAAGATCTTGGAGAAGGTCTCTCAGGGACATAGTGGAACCTTGAACCAAAACATTTGGACTATTACACTATCATCAATCCTGAACGTCATTCTATCTAGCCGCGTAAAAGGCCAGTGCTATCAGGTCACCCCAAGTTACGAGGAAGCAACTCAATCCCCCCCTACCCTCTCGCGTCTCCATGGAAATGCCCATCCAACACATGTAAATAAACACAAGACTCTTGGAATATACAGTTCTACTGTGAAATGTGGTGTGTGTAATGACACTTATTTATTTTATTTATGTTGTGATTCCAGACCACTATAGTGTTACTCACTGAACTAGTCTCAATCTCATGACAGCATAGTGACAGTTATTTCACCAAACATATGTGGGAAATGTAGGGATGTCTGTTAAATTCAAAGACCATATTTGTCAACTTTGAGCAGAACATTTTGAGCTAAGGTAAAATTAGCCCCAGAGCTTTGAATCTGGATTCTAAGAAGCAGTGGGCTGGATAAGGTGTCTGTCTGGGCACAAGGTTACCAAAGTGACACTGTGCTCCAAATTTCTATATGAGGAATCTGTCGTTCACTCTCCCTGCCTCGATGTTGCTTTGCCAGTAATGGACCCCAGACGGCTGTTGTCTTTCAAATTCAAGAGAAAGGGGTGTGATATGAGCACTACAACTTTCTTTGCTTATCTCTCAGGCTAGCAAAAAAAAAAAAAGTCCCAGACCCTTGAGACTAAACAAGACTATTATTTCTAATGGCTTAAAGCCCCGTTTCCTCATGTGTGGTTGTTTTTTTTTACCATTTTTGAGCCACTCCTTCTAAGAAACTCTGCAAACTGTAAAGATACTCTTGATACCTCTATAAAAAAGACTCACTAAAGGGAATCCATTCATGATCTGCTGTGTTTGGATCTGCGGCCTCGGATGCTGCTAACAGTCAAGTCTTTTAGAAATCCAAGCCTTTTAAAATGCTGTGCAGCAAATCCAAATAAAGCCCAAGCCAGTCCCACAGCCCTTTCATGCCTGTACCTCAGTAACCCTCCACCCTTTCACCAGCAGCTGAGTATTGCAGTCTGTTTGCTTTAGCCTTCTTGTCCACCTTCACTGCACACTTAAACATATCCTACAGGTCAGCACCAGCCCTGAACCCCCCGCCCCGGCCACCCTTAGATGTGCCGTCCAAATGTGCTTCTTACTGCACCACATAAATACATGAAGGCGATTATTGATCTAAGCACGCAGTGACTGTGGGGTGGGTCATGGTGTAAAGTTCTTGTTTTCCTTGGAGGCTTTGAAATTATGGCGTTTGGTGCTTAATGAAAAGCTAGTAGTTGTTCAAAGGCACCTGGCGGCTTTTTGATGTGAGCGTTCAACTTTCTCTCCTCTAGGCTCGAGCACTCTGTTAGACCTGACGGAGCAGTTCACTCCTCCAGAGGTAGCTCCGCCTGTGCTGCTCAAGCTCCTTGAGGCCATCGAGAGGAAAGGTGAATAGAAGCCATCATACATATTTCTCTGTCGTGTGTACACGGTAATTATTGCATTTTCTACATGTTAACTCGCATATAAAAACTCTACAGGTCTAGACAACCCTACGCTCTACAGAAACTTCACTGCTGGTGGAGGGCTGGATGTCAGACAGTGCTTTGATAGTGGTGAGTGACACATTCTATTAGCTGTTGTTACTGTCAGCTGTTGTAAACTGGTGCGATGTGACAAATGCTTTACAGTCCATGCTGAGCGCAAAACTGCAGCAAAATCACAGCCTTTAACCGGCACAGCTTGATATTACTATTGCTTCTTTTTCAAAAACTGCAATCTGAAGTAATACAATTGACAGCTCATCTCGCACAATTTGTGCTACAGACATGTGGCTCCTTAAGAAGAGGTGTTCTGTCAGTTGTATTAGCAGTCAGATTTACAATTTTCACCAGCAAATGATAAAACGCGGTAAAATTCCATTGGCTTACACTGAAGGGGCTCTGAACCTCTCTGGAGACGAGATTGTCACTTAAGCCGCTTTTCCACCGAAATTACCTGGAACAATTTGTCCCAGGAACTTTTTTCCCCCAGAACTGTTGCTGTCTGCGTTTTCAACGCGGTCTAAAGTACCATGGCGAATAGGCAAGTAGTCTTGTGACATAGGTCTGCGCGCGTTTCTCAATACAAAGTACGCAAATTTCGGACTTGCATCCTCGGTAGTTTGGACTTTGCGAGTTCGACTCGGGAGTGTGAACTCCCGCGGACGAGACGGCGTTAATTCTGCAAACAGCAACGTACTTGATAACGTCAGTCAGCTCGCCTTGGCTACTGCAATTTTCCTCACTGTATATTTACAATAAGACGAAATATGATATCAAACACCACTGCCTCCTTTCGTTTTCATTTAAACATATTAATAGCCGCAGAAATGTAGTTCAGGGAAATGTATATATAGCCTACATTACAATGAAACGAAATATTATATCAAACAGTATTGCCTCTTTTTATTTTCATTTTAACATATTAATAGATTAATTGAATAAAGACCAAAGATTACCTGTTAGATTTACCCAAAACGAATTATATTTTATGTTTAACCACTAAAGAGACATCAGAGCCAGCGGCAAATGTCAGAAGGACTAGCCGAGCCGAGACTGCTCTCGTCGGGAAACATGAGCACTGAGCGTCCGCTGATCGCGTGGAGCTGATCATCTCCGAAATCGGCGAAACACATTTTTAAATAAGCGCTGTCTTTAGAAATAAACCGCAGATTTGAGTTTTAAACGACTACATTCTCGCCTGAAATACTTTTAAAACTACATTTCATGACACAATAACAGTAATATTTTGAAAATTATCCGAATAAATGGCGGTTGAAATCACAATGCTGCGTGAACTCCACCAATCAGCATGTTTAGCACCCAAGTCCCGCCCCCGAAAGTTCCGGACCTTTGAAAAAGTACTACCTCGCGAGCAGGGACTTTCTGAGGGGCAATTTTTTTACCCGGAACTTTATTTAGATCCTGGTTCCTGCGGTGGAAACACACCAAGTACCAGCCCAAAGTCCCTAGTTCCTGGGTTAAGTTCCTGTGGTGGAAACGGGGCTTTAGTCTTGGCAATGGATTTTGACCCAGGACGCCCTAGCAACCACATAATGTAGCAGCTTCTAACAGCTACTCAGAATCCTTTTAGAAACCACATTTCAACATCCTGGCAACCACCCAGAACAAGCTAGAATTGTTGCACTGGGCACCTCATATTTTCAGCATACTACAAATAGAAATAGAAATGTTTTGTCGGTTATCGTAGCTAAAGCTGGTTAAGACCAAAATCAATCGATCAAAAAGATTTATTGCTCGTCTCTTTGTGCCGGTGCTAGCTTCATTCCTTCCTGGCTCACTGATGTCTGTGTTCTTTAAATCAGACCCTGCCTCGGTGGATCTTGATCAGATGGACCTTCAGATGTTGTGTGATGGTCTGAGGAGGTATCTTCAAGATCTACCTCAGCCTGTCGTTCCCTCTGTGGTCTACAGTGAGATGATACGCATCGCTCAAGGTGGGTTTCCATAGGATTACTGCATATCAGCATTAGATCAACAGCCCTACAACTCTCAGAGGATTTTTATGACGTAATAATAATCCATATTAATACAGCCATGTGAATCATTGGATTTACAGTGGGATGAGTTGCCAATTCTCAGCTTGCCCCTAAAGTAATATTTAAACTGCCATGAAATGCTGTGGCTTAAGTCATTTTTAAACCGGTTCATTTCAATGTTTTAGCTATGTAAGTACAGCTCTTATGTTACAGGATCGGTTTTTGGTAACACAGAAATCACCAAAAAATATCACAGTAACAATCTTCTTTAGCTCAAATCAGGCTAAAATATTTATATTTTAAAGGATTTTAATCAGGCTTGTCCTGCTAATGCACAATTTAGAATAAGGGCTTTCAGTTATTTCAGATGAAATGTATAGGACTTCTTTTCAGCTGTCATGTTCAGAGTTATATCTCCTGTTAATTTTTCATGAGTGGTCTGGTTCATTATATGTCCAATCTCTGATGTGACACAGAACTCATGTGGTCCTTCAAATTAAACTTAAAGGCCTTAAAACCGAAGGATACATGGAATAATCAGACCATTTTTGTTGATCTCATTTCATTATTAGAGCCACAGGGTGGTGCTATTGTTCTGATGTGTGTTAGTCAGATGGTGAGCCTCCTACAATGGTAATAAAGTAACACAAGGAGTCCTCATAAAAGAAGAAAGTTTTGCACAGTCCCATGAAATTCTAAAAGCAGAAGTGCAGACTCCTCTAACAAGATCGTGTGGTTGTATCATCACAGCGCATGCTTTTATGAGTACACGTTCTAACACTTATCTGATTTTGTGTCTACAAACCCCAGCCGATTCTCCAGCAAAAAGTATTCCAGGTGTTGTATTGGTGGTTGGCTTAAGGGTGTTAACTTTATCTGCCCTCGCTGTGTGACTGAACGTTCTGTCCTTGTGCTGAACAAACTGTAGCCGGTGTAAACTAGCATGTATCCAGTTTTAGAGAGAACCATTTTTTTTTTTTTTTCGCTTTGCAGTACTCTTTTGGGTAGTGTACAGTCACGTGGCTGGAAACAGGATATCTGTGGTTAATAGACCTAAAGCAAACCTGAAACTTATCTGCGACATCAGCACTGTCAACCAATCACCTCTCAGTGTACATTACTCACTCTATCATTGTCTCACTTACGATCTTGTGTGGTTAGTTGCACGCTGAGCACAATTTTCCACACGACTGCATGTTCACTTTTTTTTTTTTTGCATATGTCCTCGCTGATTATTGGTATGTTTAGCTCACTATAAAGTGTATGAATGTGGGTGTGAGAAAAGCCTTTTTTCAAACGCTCTTCTATCTCTCTCTGTCTCTTCAGAAGTGCAGGGTACAGACGAATGTGCACATCATCTGTGGCTGGTGGCCAGCTCCTCTGCACTTCCTCCGCAGTATTGGCTAACCCTGCAGAGCTTGCTGCGCCACTTCTCCCGTGTATGCCAGGCCTCAGCGGCCAACCTGCTTAGTGCTCGTGCCCTCGCTGAGATCTTCAGCCCGACACTCTTCAGACAACAGCCCACCAGGTACATCCTCACACATATGCTAATGAATCACATTGTTGTCAGCTAGCTTGTTAGCAAAAAAACCTGATGTTTCATTTCCCTTCCCAGCTGTGAGCCCAGCCCAGAGGCACACATTAGGATAATTGAAGTCCTGGTGACCAGCGAATGGAGTGACATTCAGGCGGCTCCAGGTAAATATACTATTATGTTGATTACAAACCACTCTAAGGCAATGGTTCTCAACCAATAAGTTATTTAGCTAAATTAACAATCCTAATTAAAATGGTAAAAAAAAAAAATATGTGAAACTTTAAACTTGGCATCATATTTAAATAGAGAAAGGCAGCCTTGAGTTTGAGAAACACTGCTCTAAGGGTTTGCATACAGTGTATACATGCTACTTTTATTCTTTTAGTCAGGACAAAAGACAACGGTGGGGGAAAAGGATAGTGATAGCAAGCTGGATTCAAACCAATATTTTCCAAACATTGAGCCAAGTACTGAGTACCTTGGCTCAATGTCTCACACATGCACCTTTATATAATGTATCCGAGTAGATGGAGGGCTGGCAACATTGGGAAGAAATTGGGCAGGTAACTGAGAAATTGCATGTAATGGACCGGCACCTGGGTTTGCTGCATGAGCCGCCTTGACTTTATAATGAGTGCTAGCCACTAGTCCACCGATCAGACTGATGCACACTGATGCACGCATCAGATCAAAAAGCAAGCACTGCTGTACAGAAAAGAGATATTAAAAAGGGAGATGTCCAGTCCAATGTGTTTTTATGCAGCAAAAGGAAGACAGCATTTATGTTCTTTATTCTTATAATAAGTAGCTGTGCCCTTTGTGTGTAGTCTTGGCTGCAGTATAGCACTTTGATATGAATGTTTAATGTCTGGGAGTGCTCTGTCGAAAAATCTGCATTCCACTCCCTTGCTTTTGTGGGTCAAGTTCATTTAGAGATGGGACAGACCACAGAGTGTGGTTCTGCTGTGTGTATGCTGCCCTGAACACAGACCAGTTGTCTAGTTGGGCTTTTATAGCACTAGTAAAGTCTCTCTCCCTGTCTTTATCCGTCTATCTCTCTCAGGCTGCCAGGGGCCCCAAGTTGGAGCTGTGTGACTGTTTAAATTTTTTATTACCTGTTAGGGCCTATTTATACCTTGCCCTGGCATGGAGCGAGCTCAGCTGTCAGTAATTTGCACCTGCAGGAGGCTGGGTTGGGTTGACTCAAAAGCATACTTGCCTCATTGCAGCTCAATTTCTTCCTGTACCTCCTTTACAAGCTTTTACACAAACACGAATTCACACAAGTGCCACCTTTAACTAGAACTTGTTGCCTTACCGACCTGCCCATACACGATTCCTGCGCATGTGGTGGTGGGTAGCTGTGGATGTGTGTTTTAATTTGAGTGCAAGTGTGCGTGTGTGCGCATGTTCCTAGTTACTGGGTGGCTATTTTAAGCTTGTGGCAAAAGGCCCACTTGGATTGGGTTGGATTGAAGTGCGGTCTGCTCCACAGAGCTCTCTTGTTCGCTTGCAACGGCGGCTGTTCTGTCTTGCGTGCATTCTCAAACACTTGCAAATGTTCACTTCCGAGGACTTTACTCCACCCCCCGGCCCCCTCCTGCCTGGCCTCATTCCCTTCCCAAAACATAAGGGTGCACAGCTCAGCAAATATTCGAACCTGAGCAAGTTAATCATGAGACTGAACCCTTGGAGCCAGACAGAGTGAATGAGCCGAGAGAGAGAGTTGGTTAGCAGCAGTGCGACCCCAGCAATCATTAACCCAGCCATCCTGGAGCGGGCGTCATTCTCCACCCCTCTTAGATCTGCTTTAGTTCTTCGGCCTCTACGGTTTCAATCTGTCGTACTCAGCTTCTCTTTATCAACTTGGATTTTGCTGGATTTCTTCAGACTGCCACAGTGGCTTCTAGACTCCTGCACCTGTCAAGTGGGAATATTTTTCAAAAGGACTGTCTCTTGGATTTACCAAGAACATGATAAAAAGAACAGAGGAAATGCTTACCGGACAGACTTGCTGAACAAATAGCTGCTTGACTTCTGCTGAACATGCACAACTTGCAATGTAAGTGTGTGGTTTTGGTGTCTCAGGAAGTTTGGTGTAATGACTGGTTACTTTTGTCAAAATCAGTTAGGCAAACAAAAATGCATAAAAGTAAAGAAGCAAGTGATTGCTTTGGGGAGTTAACCGGTTTTTCAGAGGGCATGATACTGCCTCTTGTCAGATGTCCTATTTTGTGTCCTGTTCTGGCTCTTTCACTAAAGCTCTGACTTGTATATCCTTGCTTCTCCACTGTGCGATTGGCTATTGCCTGTGTGTATCGAGACTAGCACAAGTGCAACCTGCTACGAAAAGTGGGTTAACCTGTTTGACTGACACTGGCATGTCTGAACAAGCGAGGTGAATGTGTTGTATTATTCGGCTTCAAAAAACTTAGGGTATTGAATATCTTTAAAACGCAAGAAGTCAACTTAAATTTAAAACTAAACGT